ACACAGCGCTCAATTATCCAGGTCCAACCGCTGGAAAAGAGATGTCGACGTCGTCGGCAACAGAGTAAAGCGTGTCGCTGACATGGCAGAAGGTTCAAAGGCCCAAAGCAAGGAGGGCTGAATGAGAAAAGAAATGCCAAATCCAAGTGGGCTTGTGTTCTGATTATCCAAGAAAAAACAGACTGGGCTTTTTTTCTTTTGTCGCTTTAACGGCCACTCTCATTCTCCCTCCTCCTCCTATTTACCAAATTGCCCTCCCACGCAGAGAGACCTTTCTTTGAATTACCCACAGATGGATATTTCCTTGAACTTGAGCATTTCAGGAAACGGCAAATCAGCGCCGGGGGGCATCTGATGTAGGTAGATTCAATTCCCAAATTGGAGGAATAAACAAAAGCACAAAAGCAGAAAGTTCATGGTCGATTCAGAAGTGACTTCCCAGCTACCAAACAACCAAAATCACCAGGATGTGAGGTATGATTAGGTCAAAATTAAGTTTAGGGTTAGGGGGAAGCCAAAAGGTCTACACATTCAACGGTAAGGATTGTTCGGTTTGCCTCATCCTCATCGAACGGTCTGGACTGCCTGACATGTCCATGTCCGGTCATGATTGCCACAACCCAAATTTTAAAATATATATATATATATATATATATATGAAAAAAAAACTAAGGCTTAATTTAAAAAGAGTACCAATACAAATATCTATGGTGCAAATATATATAAAATAATATAAAATATAAGGTTTTGCACTCTACATATTTATATTTATACTCCTTTCAAACTGAGTCTAAAATTTTTTACAGTTAATTTTAAATCTGTATTTATATTTTACATTTATAAATCTATATTTACACTGTACATATTTGTATTTATACTGTTTCCAAACTGAGCCTATAAATTTTGCCTGTTTGATATCTCCTTTGTGTGATGGAGATTAGGAGAAACCAAAAAATCTACACATTCAACGGCAAAGATCGTCCAGTTGACCCAATCCATCGTCAAAAGGTCAGGATCACCTGGCACGATCTTCACAACCAAAAGTTAAAAAATAAGAACTCAAAAATTGAAAAAAAAAACTAACATTTTGGCAGCTAATTCTAAATTCTATGGGTTTGGCTGTGGGATCTTCTACGTTGTGTGATAGAGATTAGGGGGATCAAATTGCCCCAACACCCTTAAAGTCTGTGACTTATATCAAGCTTTGGTCTGTATGATATTGGAAAACCTCGTGCTTATTGACTATTCAAGTCATTTCACATTTGGGCACTATTTAGTTAGTACTCAACTGCTCACCTCTCCTTGGTTTCTCTTTTTGATTAATGCATCAGTTTGAACTTTGAAGCCCACAGCTTCAAACCCCAAACCCTAATAATTCAATATGTTATCTTTTGGAAGCAAAATGACATTAGGTTAGTGGCTTATGTTATGGTGGGAGTGACGTGGTTTTGCCATCCCAAGCAAGGTCATCAACAGAAGAACCCTAGGACTTGGAAGTGGAAGTATATACTTGGATTAATTAATTAATTTTGTGTTGTTAAAGATAATCAAAAATATTACATACAATAATCATGACTGTTATATATATTTTTTACAATTATTAAAATAAAATTAGTGATTCCAAACCTTATCGGGATCGACAACGTCGTCTGAATTAAAGCCAGATATATAATTAAAATTTTTGCTAATTAAGGCTGCATTAATTATTTATTAGTTTAGAAGATAAAGGTGAAGAAAATATACCAAACAGCGTTTTATTTATGTGTTGTTGGTTTCTATCTGGGAGAGAAAGGATGGTCACAAACAACCAAACTGATATGTACGCCATGACAGGTAAGAAAAAGCGTTTTAGGAATATTTTTGTGGCACTTATGAGGGTTTTCAGGTAGCAGCTTTTGGCTTTATTTGGTGAGGACTTTCTAGACAGCCCATATGAAACCCCAGAAAGTCCAAAATAACCGTCGTTCAGCCGGAAATAGGGCTTTCTGCTGAAGCTTCTTTTAATACGTGGCTTCTCTAAATCAGCTCAATGAAAACAGTTAGCTCAAACAAAGCTTCTGCTCTCTCAAACAGACAGAGAGGATGAGGAGAAGCACCAACAAACAAAATAGCAAATAGATGGTTGGTTTGAATCTTCAACCGGTTTGGTGAGACTATTAAGCCAATAAATGATGTAATAAAGATAAGTGTAAGAAATATTAAATAAATGATGTAATAAAGTATTAAAAAAAAAGAAAGAAAGAAAGGACCATGGGAGACTTCTATGTATAATAAATAATACAAGTTGATCATCCCTTCTGATGACCTCTATGAATTAATTGGCTAAAAATCACAGATATTTATATAATAAAAACAATAGCAATACTAGGGTCTGAAGTCTAGGGCACCACATAGTGATGATAAGTCTTGGGGTGGACCAATTAACTAAAAATACTTGAGAATTACTCCTATACTAATGGGAATCCGCATTTAAGAGTCAAGACCCTATTCTGATTGGACCCACATAGAAGATCTAACATGGTAGAAACTGAGTAAGTAGTTTGATCATGGCCGTCCATTCTCCTATTTGACTTTTCTTCCAATTGGGTCATGTTTTTATTCCCTTATTTTTGCAACTGTCCAAAAAAATATCAGCCACCACAGCTATTCAATTGGACTGATTCCCACGAGGGTAGTATCCAGGGTTTTGTTTCTTCCTTCTCTTGACAAAATTTGAATATGACAACTTCCCTAAACCATGTACTAGGGTTGGGTTGGCTTGTTAGTTGCAGTAATTTCTTCCAAAATTCTTTTAATATCAAGATGTAAATATAATTATCAACTTAATCACTACAATTATACCAGCTCAACAGAAAGGCAAATGAGATTAATTTCTTATTAGATTAAGAACTAATGAAACTTTGATCTGTACTACTGACCCTGCCAATTGAGGTTTTAATTTAAAAATTACAACAAAATCCATAGCATCACGAGGCAAATCTGTTCTTCCCTTCCTTTTAAACAAAAGAATATATATATATATATCCAACTCAATACATCAACACATGCATGTTGGAGGGTCTATCATCCTCAATGAACTCTTAAGATGAACGGTGGATCTGGATCTGGTACATCATTTTTTATATATTTCCTTTTAGCAGAGGAGTGAAAGGTCATGATCATCAGGCTGGTTGGGTTTATGGGCCGTGGCTCTGGTACATCATTTTTTATATATTTCCTTTTAGCAGAGGAATGAAAGGTCATGATCATCAGGCTGGTTGGGTTTATGGGCCGTGGCCCACCAAATATGGACCATGGGGAATTTATAAATTATAATGGGTAGGGTCCATTAAGGATGATGGGCATCATCTTCAGTTCTTCACCCCCCCCCCCCTCCAAAAAGAGAAACCATTAAACCAACCTGATGTCCGTTCCCACGTTTGTGGAGTATAGAAAACGGAAGGACAGCGTTTCCGTAACAAATACTGCTCAGCCCATACAACAAGGACCCCCCACATACATCTACTCCACAGTCCACAATGGATTGCTTTGAAAATTAAACTAAAAATAAAAAATAAAATGTATAATATTTTAATTAAACTGAAACTGTCAAGCTAATACAAATCAGGCATGAGTTAGGTATATTAAGAAATTCTTTCCTGTTTTTTATTAATATATAAAAATAAGAAAAAGGAAAATAGATTAATATATAGAATGGAATCTCCTGGTAGGTCCCACATAACAAATACCAAACCAGCAGCAGCAGCAGCTCCTAAAACCATAAACCCACCGTCTTGAGCACCACGATTCAATCACGGTCGGCTTTACCAAGTAGCAGGTGGGACCCTTAATAAACCGGTGGTTTAGTCCGTACAGAATCGCTATACAATGTAGCTTCGGATTTAAAAACCCTAATGCATGGCTACTGTTCATGGTTTCAGGTTCAGCTTTTTTTTTTTTTTTTCTTTCTTTCTTTCTTTCGTTCTTTCTTTTTCCAAATAGATAGATATAGATCACAGATAGATAGAAGGATAGATAAATGATGGTGCATGCATGTAAGCTATTAGACTGGCCGTTAGGCCCCACCCATTTCTTCACATACAATCAACCGGATATGGGGTGATCTTGGCCGTGGGATCAGATGGGAGTTAGGGGCACCGACGGCCTAGATGGAAGGATTATGTGCATGGGATTAGGTGAAAAGATATGAACAGCAACGCAAGGACATTGGCTTATGTGTATATTAAAATGGAACCTTCTATTAGTTGTGTTTGTGTTTGTGTACATCCCTTTTGGTAAAAAAGAGCTGATGAGAACCGCAAAGGCAGAAACCCAATTGGAGAAGAAACTCGTCATCTGCCAATGTTAGTGATTTTGAGGGATACTAATACTAAGGTGAACTTGGCCAATAAAGACAAACACTAGTGTTCCAAAGCCAATTAAGACACGACACGTAAGTCAGAGGGGGGAGGAATTTCTAGCTGTATGAGCTTTGTCTTCAAGCCTATCCAATACCCATCTTTCTCCCTTGCCAAACCATAGGCCCAGAAGGGAAAGTCCATTGAGAAAGAGAGAGAGGTTAGGTTAGAACTAAGAAAAAGAAAATCCACTAATCCTATTCCTACACTGCCTTTCTCCCTTCCAACAATGAACAAAAACCCTTCAATCCCTCTCTCTCTCTCCCTCATACATCATACATACACAAGAAAACCCTCCCTCTGATGCTTATCGGGAATATAATTGGTGCATTAAAAACAGGAAGAAATAATAGAGAAGATTTTTGAGGAATAATAAAAAAATGGGATAAATAATATTAAATAAAATTTAAAGGGCCTAAGAGATAAAAACAGCAGAGAGAGGCCATTCTCATGGTCAGCACTAGCAGCATAGCTCAGGGGGGATGAACTTACAAAAACACGGTCCACAGTCATGTGAATCCCATCAACTTGCATGGAATGGGTCCCACACCTCTCTCAACCCACAAACACATACATACTCTCTCTCTCTCTCTCACAGCCCTTCTCCTAACTCCTTCCCCATTTCTCTTCCTCCTCATCTGGACTCCTAAACACCACCTCTCCCCATCTCATCTAACCATGAATCTTCCCACACCCACACAGGTGACCCACACACAAATAACACCATAAATCCACCAAACAAATTATAAAACTTTCTCAGAAATTATTTTCACCTTGGTTAGTCCTATATATTCCTCCTCCAATCAACCCAAATCATATTAGCTCTTGAGCTGAGATCTCTCTATCTCTCTCCCTCTCAAGCTACACCTACACCTCTCTTTCTTTCTCTCTCTCTCCACATATCTTCGTGCTTCAAGGTCACCGAACACTTGCTTGTATTATCCTCTTGCTTTTTTGCTTTGCCCAGTGCAACAAAGAAACCAATAGAAAAAAGAAATGGAGGGAAGTTGCATCGATGAGAGCACCAGCGATTCCATCTCGGTTACGCCGCTGCCGGTTTTGGCTTTGCCGGGGAAGAAGGAGCCGGAAAAACTATGCCGGGTGGGGAGTGGGGCTAGTAGTGTAGTCTTAGACTCCGAGAGCGGCGTCGAGGCCGAGTCTCGTAAGCTCCCATCGTCCCAGTACAAGGGAGTCGTCCCCCAACCCAACGGACGTTGGGGGGCTCAGATATATGAGAAGCACCAACGTGTTTGGTTGGGCACGTTCAATGAAGAGGAGGAGGCCGCCAGAGCCTACGACATCGCTGCGCAGAGGTTCCGTGGCCGCGACGCCGTCACCAACTTCAAGCCCTTGTCGGAGACCGACGAGGATGACATCGAAACGATCTTCTTGAATTCACATTCCAAGGCTGAAATCGTCGACATGCTCCGGAAACACACGTACCATGACGAGCTGGAGCAAACTAAGCGTAATTATGGATGCAATGGCGATGGTAGTAGGAGGATCAGAGGTGGTGGCGGCTTTGGTGATTCCACCGGTTCAGATAGAGTTGCCAAGGCTCGTGAGCAGCTCTTTGATAAGGCGGTGACGCCGAGCGACGTGGGCAAGCTGAACCGGTTGGTTATACCGAAACAGCACGCAGAGAAACACTTCCCACTCCAGATTGGAAGCACTTCCAAATGTGTTTTATTGAATTTTGAGGATAATGGAGGGAAGGTCTGGAGATTCAGATATTCTTATTGGAATAGTAGTCAGAGCTACGTGCTGACTAAAGGGTGGAGCCGATTCGTGAAGGAGAAGAACTTGAAGGCCGGAGATGTCGTTAGCTTCCAGCGATCAACCGGCCCCGATAAGCAGCTTTACATCGACTGGAAGCCGAGGGCAGCGTCCACTTACATGGCGTTGCCACAGCTGGTTCACCCAGTTAACCCAGTACAACCAGTTGAAGTGGTGAGATTATTTGGTGTCAACATTTTTAAAATACCAGTGAGCAGCGTAGTTGATACTTGGAACATCAATGGCAAGAGATTGAGAGATGTCGATTTTTCATCGTTAGAATCCTGTAAGAAACAACGCGTCGTAGGAGCTTTGTAACACTATTTTTCTTTTGTTTTTTTTTTTTCCTGTAAATGTTGAGAGTTGAGACTTGAGGAAGGGAGGGAAAAGAAAGGAAAGTTGGCGGTTTTCCAACTTGCAAATTAAAGGTGGTTTGATGTGTACAGTAATAGATAAAAGCCGAAAATGTTGAAACCAGATGGAAGAAGAAGGAAACAAACGGAAAGAAAATCTCATTCTGTTTTAGCTTCTTTTCCAGGTTTCCATTAATTTGTTGCTTATTAATCTTATTATTTGTTGGTTGCTGCACTCATGAAATATGTAATCAATTATTCCTCTCAACAGAAATGGCATGGCAGCTTTTCACAACAATGAACAATATCTGGGTTGTTATGTTTCCACATGCTTAGCCTGCTTCTGAAATAAAGAAAAAATATAATTATTTATTTTCCTCTGCAATACTCCAAAATATGTCATCCTCATAGCTTATACAGTACAGGAAAGAAAGAGAGAGGGGATATAAAAAGCTTCAACTTGGATATGAAAGGGCTGGTGAAAGGGAGCTTTGGTACAACGAGATACAACAATTTGGGCATTAATAATTGTTCAGATTATTATACATGCATGTATGATAGCTTCAATGTTTCTCAGCTTGGATCTACCAAAAGATCAGAGGATTTTATTTGCTTGTAGATAGAGAAAAGAAAACAGTATGTTCAGAATAAGTTAGCTAGATTAATTAGATCGTTTATGTAGTATATAATTTCTCAGTGCAACAATATGATAAACAGTGCTTCACCATTTTTCCACAAAAAGTACACTACCCAACCAAGATAGGAAAATTTGCCATCTTCTATCTTCATAGGATCTTCTATACAAATTACTAATTTAAATTTGATCTTAAAAGGGTTTTCTGATAGTATATAGTTCTAATTAATGGCTAGGAGCTCTACAGATGATTCACTTTTTTTTTTAACTTTTCCTTCTATATCTTTGTTAAATAGAATATATGTACATTCTTGTTTACTTGAACAGTTGTGTCTCAATGGTTTTTCCTTCCTGAAAATTTGAACATTCTTGTTAAATAGAAAATCTATACATCTACAGCCAATTCACTTTATTTAATGGCTTTTCTTTTTTTTTTTATTTTACCTTCTGTTGTGTTCAAATTTGAGGGGAAATATGACAAAATATCTAGGACTTGTCAAAACCATAATTAGCAATTGACAATAATACACACATTCATTTGCAATATATCAAAACCATTAATTGAAATTTTTGAAGAGCTAGATACATAGAAGTAAACAATTGATTATTATTATTCATTCTATTAATATATATAKAKAGAGAGAGAGAGAGAGAAACCAAACTTCAATTACAATTTAGAGTGAAATGTTTCCTCGGTGCTTAAATCCTTTTAATAAAATTTACATCACATGGTTCCTTTTATTTCAATGAACTTGAATGTTACGTAATAGTTATAAAAGAGCAAGAATTACACCTAGTAAAAGGAATGAACCCTTGCATCCTCTTCCCTAAATACGTCAGACAATGAAAGCTCACATCTATACCCAATTATCAAAACAAAAGTCTTGGGTGGCATGGAATTGACCCACTTTTTTGGTGACATAGAATTGACCATAGACATGAAATTAAGGAAATGACAGATTTGATGAACATCATGCAAACCAGATGACTTGTCCAAAATAATGAAGTCTATAATTACTATTTCAAATAATTCTCCTTTGTTCCACAATGGTTCAACAAAAAATGGGTTGATATCAACAAGTTCCAAACATAACCATATGAAGTTAATTGAACATAACTCAGTGAAAATATATCAAGTAGTCAAAATTCACCAAAATCATGAGCTAATATTTGGTATTGTTTTGTCATTAATACTTTTCCACATTGCATAGATATTTTAACTTTATGAGTACCAAAAAACGCATGACCTTAAAAGAAATAATCACTCTTTTATATCTTTTTTTTTATTTTTGAAGCCTAACAGGCCACCCTTTTGTGAATTCAGATTTGCTCCTCAGACCAACCTCACAGTACATTGCAGCTATGCATTGGAAGCATCTATCTCCCCATGAATGACAACATACAAGTACATCAGGAGATATTCCCAATGTGTGCAGTGCAGCTGCAGGTGCTGTGAGGTTGGTGTGAAGGGAAAACATGGATTCCTCTTTTGTATCTAAGTAGATGGTGCATGTATTTTTGTAGTATTGATATATTAAATATAAGATACAATTGTTTTGAGTGATTGTCAAATTAATAACTTTCAGCTTCAATGATCTCCTACATTCAGTGTATTTACTATTAGGTAGTTATGGGTCTATTGCTTCCAACCAAAAAGATAATCATCTAGATTTAGTTTAGTTAGGTTCAGTGTATGTATTTCTATCATGTCATGTCTAAAAACTTTATGCTTGTTGAGCTTTTGTTTTTTCTAACCACATTTGTATACTTTATTCCATATCATTTTGTCTTCTCTACATATATTTTCTTGAGGCCTTTGAACCTTGGGAAAACCATGTCAAGTATTATAATTTGAATTTAATGTAGTTACACCCTACATCAATATGTCAATACATCACATTGAATTTAGAAATATCTAAAATCATTAGTGATTATTTTGCCTCTTAACATAAAGGAATTGAATTAATTTTTTCTGCTTCAAGAATTTAGATTTATTTTATTAGTAACCAAACATGCATTTTTTGTTTGTTAGTAACCATCTATCTAAGGTCTTTGAAGCAGTCGACAGGACACAAACCTAATCTTTTCGGCATTTTCGTATAAACTTATGTGCAGCCGCTCCCAAAATTTAAGCCGAAGATTTTCATTTCACCAAAAATATATTCCCTATACTTTTCTTTTTCCTAAATCACCAAAGTCAGTTAATTTGTTCACAAATACTTTCTTCAATAGTTAATGAAATGTAATTTTTTATCATCATTCTTGTGCTCCAAATTTTTCCCATAATCTATCTTAATTTTAAATGTTAATAAAATTATAATTTATTTGTTTCTCTATTTTTTTCACACATTTTATTTTTAGTCATTGAAGATGCAGTYAATGTTAGAATGCATATCTTCAAGATGCCTTAACCAGTTACTCTCAGCATTTTTATTGGTGCCATTGTTATTTGTGAGGTCAAATATAACATCATAATGAAAAGTTTATCAAGTTAAGAAAATCTAGAATTAGATAAAAAAAAAAGGAATGATAATTAAGTACCTATAAAGAAGTTATACTTTTTTGTCCATTGAATTCCCCTCCCCAACACACGGTACCAACTTGCTTATATACAATGCTTTTTTTTCTGTGTGTGAATTCAACTAACTGCCATTATAGATATTTGTGGTCTTTATTTCGTCATGTACAGACATTTTATTGCAGTGATAGACTTTAGAGAACCACTTGCAAGATTAGAATTTGTTCTTGTAGTGGAGAAATACATTATTGTAAAAGACAATACATTAAATGTGCTTCTTTAGCTTTCAGAGTTGTTATCACTATCACATTCATCAATATTTCCATTTACTCTCCTCCATACAATTTGACACTAGATTAACATCTTTTTTTTTTCGCTTACCGCTGTACGTCTATGTAAGAAACTTTTTGCCTGTGTTGGGTTTGAAAGAAAAGGAAGAGAAATTAAATCAATTAAGGAAGAGGTTAATTTCCCTTGATAATATCATTTTCTTTGATTTCAGAAGGAACTAGCTAGTAATTAATATGATTAATTGTCATAATGCTTCAGCTTGCTGGTGTTTTGTTCATGTGGGTAGCAATGAAGATAGAGCATAATTCAACCACCAATGGGTTCTTCCGGTACCAATCTGAACTACAAATGGATTAGAGGCCCATAAATCAAGATCTACCATGTGACATACACATACACACACATTTTCATTTTCACTGTCCAAACAGAATGATTCATGGTTTTTAAAACCGATCACCGGTGATCGAATCAGTCAGGGGTCCGGTTACTGGGTCAAACGGTCCAACCGTTCGAATCGAACACTCGGCCCATTGTGACAAAAAATTAAAAATGGTTCGAACGATTAACCATCCGATTCAGCAGTTCATTGACCAAAATCAACGATTTTGAGGAAAAATCCAGTTTTGAGGAAAAACGGAACCAATCACCGGACCAATTCTCAATTTTTTCCAATCCAACTGTCCGATCCGATCCAGTTTTGAAAACCATGGAATGATTAGTTGAAATATGCTGCATGCATACCTCAAGTTCTTGTGATTCATCTAATCAGTGGAACTGAGAATAATAAAGGTTATTACTACCACTTGTAACAGAAGATTACATAGATGGAAGGTCATGAAGGCCCAAGAATATATATTTTTCTACTTGTTCTATATCCAAAAATTCAACAAATATGCCCAATATTAGTACTATTAGATTGTATTGGTATTGGGTTCTTTTTTTATTTTTTTTGGGTACTTAATGGGTAATGGGTGCTTAGAAGACCCATTCTTTTCACAGTAGCCCATTTAATGGGTACTGGAGCCTACCACCAAATGACCAAATATTTTTTGAACAAGTCTTATAAAGCAAATGTCATGGCAATCAATGGAATCAGACAATGCTGTGTTCAACCTTTAACCCACCGCATTATTTTTTGCAATAAAGCAATTCATAGCATCTGCATGCTGACCTGAAATGATGAACACTCCATGACAAATGATCAGCAAATTAAAGGGTGTTGATGAAATCCATGATAATGATCCCCCCCCCCCCTTTATATAGGGAATGAAACTGCTTTTGCTTGATGATCATCATTCATCACCAAAGGATGACGATGTAGGTAGGTCCCAGAACTGTTGGCATCTGAAACCAACCAGTGTGATAGTATTACTTGTGATTAAGTTGTATACATCATATCCATGGACCATCTAACAATGTGGGACTTAAAAACGACATATGACCTATATACAAGGGGGGCTGCACCTTCCTAGTCAAGTACTATATTGCATTGTGATGTGATGGCCCTAGTGTCAAGTTAATTTAATACCGACAACCAATTCAATATAGCCTTCCACAATTAATTTTTGAGTACCCATTTAAATCCACTGGATTCTAACCCAAACAGTATAATCCGTATCAACCATGCTGTCTCATTAATTAATCTTTCTTGTTCTAACCTCTTAGTTTTAAGTCAGACATGGACTCCATGCTCATCACCATTCTAATTTAAGGGAAACTAGAGTACCAGAGTACTCTCTCTCTCTCTCTATATATATATATAGTACTCAACTAGGTAGATGACAGTTTTGGACTTTCATGGCAGTCCTTTTCACTATTTTTTTTTACTTTAATTGAATGGTAAAAATGGGAAAATCCAAAAATTTTCTTCCTGGCTCCAAGA